GTGGGGCTTGATCCCAGGACCCTGGGATCATGACCTGAGCCGAAGGCAGATGCTTAATGACTGAGCCACCCAGGTGCCCCTAATACATTGACTCTTCCACCTTAACTGTAACCACTAATTCCCTTTAGCTTCTATATTCTTTTTTATCCAACTTAATTTTTAGTAGTTCATCATTACAGTCACTCCATCTCAACTAACTCAAGTCAGTCTTCCATATCACTCTCCTAACAAATGTACAACCTTGGATAAATGCAACCTCTGTTTTCTTCAGCACGTAGAGAATTTTTAAAATTATGATATGTCATGTAAAAAATCAAGATTTCTGGCTCCTCTTTGAAAAATCAGAGGATGTGGCAACGTAGGATTGACAGTTTGGGTGGTAGCAATCTAGTGGCCACCCCATTTAGACTGGATATATATTCTTGAGTTTCATGTCCACTGAGCCTGCTTCAGTTGTTTACTTGTCTTGCCCCTGCCAGCATTTGAGCTTTTAGCCCCTGCCATACATTCAAGATCAACAATTCTCAAGTGGTGCCTAACAGCCCCATGCAGTTCCAGAGTTAGTTTACACACCTAATCTCTGTAAAGGTTATCTCACATTTTTTCTTCGATAACCAAATCTTCTATCCCTTTTCTTCACCTTTCTTTAGCTGATAAATTGCTTTGTTTTTATCAGTGTACAAACATGTTTTGGTCTTTCCACCCAAAACCCACAACCCTCTCCTTCCACCTTCCTGGCCTTGCTTGACTGCATCTTTTCCTCCTATACTGCTCCATACTTTCTTCCATCAAGCTTTTTTAAAAAAGAATCATTTGAAATTACTGTTTTTGTACATCAAAAACTGTCCGATGTCAGCAAGGTCATATGGTTTAACCTAATACATGAATGTTACTATCTCATCTCCATTCTGTTTTCAGTTTAATCTGACTTCTGCCCTAGTCATGCCACTAAAGCTGCTTCCATGTTACCAAATCCAAAAGATATTCTCTGTTCATGTCTTTCTTCACCTCCCAGAAGCTTTGGCCATTCCCTTCTTGAAACAGTATCCTTTCTGACCACTCCACAGCCTATTTTGCTGGTTTTCTTTATTTTTCCTGTCCTCTAAAATAATAGGCTACCTTAGGACTTGGAATTAGTTCCCCTGCTCTTCTCTTTCTCCATTCTCTTCTTGGGGAATTCTATGTATACCTATAACTTCAAATTTCATCTCTATCCTGCTTACTGCCAGATTTATTTTTTAAATTCGGGACTCTTCTCAAAACTATTCAGGGTAACATCTATTCTTGGATACCTTCGGTATCTCAAAGTTAATGTGTCCACAATAAAACTTATTATTTCCACCCCCAAACCGGTTTTCAGTCCAATATTTCCCATGTCAGTAAATAACATAAACCAGAAGCCTTGGTTTCATTTTTAAGTTTTCCTTTCCCCCCACCATATCCAGTCCATCAGCAAATTTTGTCCCAGATGGCCTGCCTCTTCCCATCTCTACCACCGCCACTAAAATCTCTCGCCCGAACTAGCAAAGGACCCGTTAAGGTCACTTTTTTCTCTCTTGCTTCTGCTCTGTCCATTTTCTTTTCTTTTTTTAAGATTTTTTATTTATTTAATTGACAGAGAGAGAGAGACAGTGAGACGCAGCGAGAGAGGGAACACAAGCAGAGGGAGTGGGAGAAGGAGAAGGAGGCTTCCCGTGGAGCAGGGAGCCCGATGCGGGGCTCGATCCCAGGACCCTGGGATCATGACCTGAGCCGAAGGCAGACGCTTAACGACTGACCCACGTAGGTGCCCCTCAATTCCTTTTTTAATACTGAATAGTATTCCACTATGTGAATATACTGCAAATTATTTATACATTCTTCTCTTGATAGAAATTGGGTTGTTTGAAATTTTTTGATACTGTGAATAAAACTGTCATAAACATTTTGTGACTATGTTTTAATTTCTTTTGGGAAAATACCTGGATTGAACATTGCTTGACCATAAGGTAGGTGTGTGTCTAACTTCATAAAAAATTGCCAAATGGATTTTCAACGTGAACCCCCCCATTTTATTAGCATTTTCTTCTAAAGAGAGTGAGGCATTTATTTTAACTACAGGCTTTTAAAATAGGTTTGTGTCACTAGCTCTGTCGTACGCATCGGAAAACCATAGTGGTTTCCTGACTCTCTTATAGTCAATTTGTCTCCACTTTGAGATCATTAGTGTAAAGAGAAAAAGAAAAGCATTGAAACTTAAAAAAAAAAAAGTGAAGTAAATTAAATGTGGAAAGAAGGAAAACTCAAAATTCATTTAATATTTATTAGCATCTAGATTATATCAGGTTACTACACTGAGTGATGAGACTATAAACATGAATAAAACATGACCCTCACCCTCAAGGACTCCACAAAGAGTTTGGTGGAAGAAAAAAGTGAGTACATTCCAATATTCTAAGCGGTATAATAGAGGACACTGAACATGAACAGTATGGGCATTCCACGGATGATACCTTGCACCTACATTAGAGGAAGGGAGCGGATGAGAGACGAACCCCTGGACAAAAAGGAAGCTTCCCAGAGAGGCTGGACTTGATGAGAGAGTAAAGCTTTGACCATAGAACAAGTAGTAAGAGTATTTTAGGCAGAGGGTATTTTAACTTCTGTAAAAGCACAGAGATGAATAACAATTTTAAAAACTCAGAGAAATGAAAGTCATCCAATAGCTTTAGAAAATAAGGTCAACAAATGAATAGGAATGTGACTTATTAAAATGAGAGAAATTAATACTTAGTACCAGGCTTGAATAAAGTACTAAACAAGGGGCGCCTGGGTGGCTCAGTTGGTTAAGCGACTGCTTCGGCTCAGGTCATGATCCCGGAGTCCCGGGATCCCGCATCGGGCTCCCTGCTCAGCAGGGAGTCTGCTTCTCCCTCTGACCCTCCCCCCTCTCATGCTCTCTCTCTCTCTCTCTCAAATAAACAAAATATTTAAAAATAATAATAAGTAGGAAACAGTGATGCTTTAGATTATTTAACAGTACCAAACAGGACCCACTATAAAATGCAACCTACAGTTTGCTCAACTCTGGTAGCTAACATTTACAAACTAGATGAAAAGACGAAAGAAAAAAAAACATGAAAAAAAGAAAAGTAAGATTAAGTGGTAATTCAATGACTTTCCCCCTAAGATTCCAAATGAGACACCTAACTATTCACATGCTGCCCCAGCGTTAACAAAACAATACTTGTGGCAACCGGAAAGCACTTTCCATTTGTCCAAACGCGATTTGGGGGCCCAATTTAAAACAACCGGGTTAATTTCACGCACTAAAGCCGAGCGGTCTACCGGTCCTATCATGCAAGGCATCCACTGTTCTCAGACCGCAAACCCAGGTTTTCACACACAACTAGGCCTCACCGGAAGTTAAAGCACATGCCTTTAAACCCGTAAACCCAGTCCTACTACCCCTAAGCTCCTATCCCACAGCATCACAGGTTTAGGCTTTACATTAGTGGCAAAACCGCCACACTGAAGAGTTCGAAAGGCACTGGGCCACGCGGCCGCACAAAACCTGTCCGAAGGCCCAGAATACCGAGGCTGAAGCCGTGGGGACACAGGAAAAACAAATTCTTTCCCAGACTGACCCGAACTGCCTCACCCCAGGGACTCGGCTTCGCTTTTCTCGAGTCTCTCCCCACGCAGGGCCGCGGCCTTGCCGTCTGGTTCTCAGCCCCCGGCCCGGCGCACGCCGCTCCTGGTCTGGGACGACCATAACTCCACCACCCAGGTCAGTGGGCCCAGGACAAGCTAGACGGTCTCTCAAGGACCTCAGTGCACTGCCGCTGTGGTCACAAGTTCAGAAGTTGAGTTCGTGAGACACGCGGCTCCGGGAGCCACACGCCAGCCCTACCTGGAAGATGGCGGTTCCGGCCGAAAGGAAGGAGGCGGAGCCGCAGCGCGCGCCTTACAAGGGCCTACGGGCTGCCCACAGCACTGCCTGAAAGAAATGCCAGCCGAAAGCAACTCTTCTGGGGAAGGAGATCTTCTCAGAGAACAAGGGGAGCCTGGCTGAATATTTTTCTTTCTTGTGAAAAAGAGGCAATAGACCAACACAAGCTGACTCTTGGATCTTTCCGGACAGCCCGGAAAGGGGCCTTCAGGGGCGTCAATCACGGCGCCGGTGACCCAAGCGTGGGGACGTTTGCCTTTGCGTCGAGCTTACGCCGGAAGCGCGCGTGTGTCGGCGTCTCCGGGCGCCGCGGAGAGGTTGGTGTAACGGCGTCTAAGCCTTTTGTGGGGCTCGTAACAGCTCTATGTTTGCAGAAATGATTACGTGGGCGCAGAAGACAAATTGTAATGAGGCAAACGTATTATCCAGTTTGTATGTCTTTCAAGAGGTTTTTTTCTTCTATGAGTCAAGATATACCATACTCTTGTTGGCGTGTGCGTGTTAAACATGCATTTTGAAAGCAATTTGACAAAATAAAGTAAAACTGCAAATTTTCAAATACTGTACCCTAGTATTTTGCTCCTAAGTATATATCTTGTAGGAACGTTGACATGTAAATCAGGACATAAAAGCAAAAAATTAGCAACATCCACCGAAGAGAGTACATTCATTAATGGGATGCTCATATGATGGAATATGCCAGTAAATCAATACTAGACCCAGAAATATGAGACAAAAAGAGGAGGTTGTGGAACGCATAGTATGACGATCTACATAGAATCTGAAAACATGTAAAACAGTACCGTATGTTGCTTAGCTACATATGCATACGTAATGGAAGAAGTCAAGAAATAAAAGGGAAAAAAATCGAATTTAGAAATCTATTTCATGTCCAGTAGGGAAGGAACCATGAAGTAGTATAAGAGGTTTTTACTATCTTGATTATTACTGAAAATATAGGTAGCCATTGTTTTATTTGTTACACTTTTTGATATGTATTATTTTAATAGCATGTTTTTTAGAGTAGTGTTAGATTTATTTAAAACAATTTTTGAGAAAATAGTACAAAGAATTTCTGTATACCTGGTACCCAGTTTCCCCTATTAACATTTTACATTGGTATGATGTATTTGTTACAATTAGTGGACCAATTTTGTACATTATTGATAACTAAAATCCATTGTTTATTCAGACTTCCTTAATTTTACCTAATATTCTTTTTCTGTTAGGATTCCATCCAGGATACCACATTATATGTAATTATCATGTCTCCTTATGCTGTGGCACTTTCTCAGACTGTCCTTGTTTTTGATGATCTTGACAGTTTGAGGAGTACTGGTCAGCTATTTCGTAGAATGTCCCAATACTGGAATTTGTCTGATGCTTTTCTCATTGTATTATTTTTATGATGTATTTTCTAAAAGTCACCTAAACAACAAAAATCTTAACCTGTTTGAATTTTTTTTTTTAAAGATTTTATTTATTTATTTGAGAGAGAGAGAATGAGAGACAGCACGAGAGGGAAGAGGGCAGAGGGAGAAGCAGACCCCTTGCTGAGCAGGGAGCCCGATGTGGGACTCGATCCTGGGACTCCAGGATCATGACCTGAGCTGAAGGCAGTCGCTTAACCAACTGAGCCACCCAGGCACCCAACCTGCTTAATTTAAATAACGTTATCCCATTGATTTTTTGCGTTTATTTGACTTACTCTCCGATGCATCTGGAATTTGTAATTTCTAAAAGCTGCATAGGCTCCAAAGTTTTGATTTTTATACATTCTGTGACTGTAATCTTTAGCCTTGAGCTCACTTGCTCAAGAACTTGAGGAATCAGGAGCCAGTCTTCATCGATTCCTTTAATACATTGACTCCTTTTTTTTTTTTTTT